TTTACTGGATGTCACTCCCAATAACAACAACTGCAAGAGGTGCATCATGCTCACAACCATTTTTTTTTTTAGATGTTATGAAGTCTCTAATGCTCTCTTCATGCACAAATGGTCTTAATTCCTGATGTCTCTCCATGATCAACCACAAAACAAGGGGTGAGACTGTTAAAGTCAAGTTTGGTTGCCAGCTAGCAGGCAAAAATAAATCATAGAAATCATTTCCAGTTCTTCACAGAAAGTCTTTAGTTATCCTTCAAATATTTCTCTCAAGCTTTGATCTGTCTGCTCTGGTAAATGTGACAAGAATAGGAAATGTCCAGTCTGGATACAAGCAATATCAGAAAACAGAAACTTAAAGGTTTCAGCCCAGGCACCAGCTCTCACGCAGCAGCTATCATACTCACCCCTGACTACCAGGCCCGTTGAGTTGTTGTTGAGTTGTTGTGTCCCTGCTCCGAAATGACCACCTGGTCTCTTCATAGGTAGCCTCCTCCATGTTTTGTGAGGGGTGGGAGAGACAACTGGAGCAAGAGAGGTCATCATGCCCGGCCGGCTTTTCGCTCAGTTCTTTAACTTAGGCTTTTGGGCAAGGGAGATCACTATTGCGAGACATTTATTTAGCAGGTGGCCCCAGCCAACCCAAGGTTCTGCAAAGGGGCTGGTTTCTGCTGTTAGTAGTATGGAAAAGCTCAGTGAAGAGGACCATTTATGAGAGAGGATCATGCAGCATGTTGAGATGGAGGCTTCCTTTAACCTGGTTAAACTATAACTGTTGAGAAGCTTAAAACATCTCCAAGGGCATGTTAGCCTGGGATATAGCAGCCCCGCTGCACTTGTGGTGCTCGTTCCTACTAGCAACAATAATTTCCCATTAAGTTGTTCTTTGAAACAACTATGCAGCTAAAATGACTATTCATTCCATGGGATCTCAACTAAGATCTTTTTTTTTTTCTTTTTTCCCCTCATTTTCTGTTGGTTACCAGACTTGGGATCCTGTGCTGTGTTCCTGGTGCAAACCCTGACTTTTCAGTGGGAGTCTTGGCAGTGCTGTTTGATTTTGTTTGATGTTTGACTTTCTTCTGTGATTTTGCTAGGTAGAAGCACTCAGTCTTGGAGCAGTAATACTGTTTTATCCCCAGCAGGAGCAAAGGTGTGAGCAGCACCTAGAAACAGCATCATGAAAGTCTCATGAAAGCAAATGTAGGAAATGGTCCTGCTCTAAATAACTCGATGCTTTCTCTAAAATTATGAAAAGACACATTTCTTCCTCTTCCTGACCACAGTGGTAAAGCACAGTCTCTTGTAGGACAGCCCACAAGAGCTAGCTCTCAATCCCTGCCTTCTGAAGAAAAGCACCCAAAAAACTTATGTTGACAAATCTCTTTAGAGTCAGTGGGACCAGTAACTGCCCAGGATGGCTGGAAGACGGGCATCTCTGGGTCCAAGATCTGGAAATTTTGGCATCTGGCTTTATAGGAAATCTTTGCTGTCCCACTTGAATTGGGATACTGTGTTCCATGTAACTTGTTATTCTTGTCTCCTACTGCTACTTCACACGTAGGCAAAATTCCGGGGACCATTGTCTGTAGATTTACAGCATAACGTTTGGCCTGTGTTTGCTCTACAAGAGTTTGCAGTATCAATGAAATCTCAAGCAACATTTGAAAGAGTAAGTATGAACTGTGCGTGTTTAAATCTGCGGCAGCACCTCCTGGAGGCTGTTCGAGGTTGCTGATGCTATGTCCTGTGATCGGGGCTAATGCTGTAACGCTCTCAGTGCCCAGGTTTTCCAGTCTTGACCAGACTGACTGGGGCATGAGGTGTTGGAAGGTCACGCAGAAGTGTGTTGGGGAAGATAAGTGGGCTGCTCATACATTCCGTGGCTCTGAGTACATTCTTAACAATCTGGGTTTTTTTTTTCTGACCTTGCTATGCTGTATTTCTGGAGTAAACTTCCATTAATTTCTCCTGATAAAATTCAACCTGTAATTCATCTGTTAACACTGCAGTGACTTCTTGGAAATCAAAAACTTGATGTCATATACAGACAACATTTGAGAGCTACAGTTAAACTTTAAGATTAAAAGTGGATGCTCTAATGGGAAAGCATTGTCTTGCACATCTAGAGAGAACCTTTATTGTTAGTCAAAAATATTTATGTAGTTGTAGTCAATTTTTAGAGTTGGGATTTTTTTTTAAATGCAATCTGCTTTTCTCAGATTTTATTTCCACTTCAGGTTGCTACAGGATGGTGTTGTAGGATACAAAACATGATCCTTTTTAAGATAATTCCATGGAGTGATAGGATTAATAGCACCAATTAAGTCCTTAACTCCCTGGATTTCAGAGAATTTTGCACTTTGAGGGTAAATTGGAGCCTTGGTTTCTGGGTTTGCAGCTCCACCTCATCCTTGCCAAGCTACTGAGAGCCCAGAATGCACCCTAGATCCAAGAGCAGCTGGGGCAGTAGTCACGTAAGCTGCATCAGCTTCATTCATGGACTTCACCCAACATCTGTTGGGCAATTTCTATTGGCTTTCATGAAGTTATGTGGATTTACGGCATGACATTTCTGAGAGATAATTTTTTTCTTAAGCTTATAAAATAACTTGCATTTGAATGTAGCCTCGGGATTTTACTGATGTTTTTATTTATTACTAATAATAAGTGTTTATTTTTCACTGACCATTTGGCTGAGCCATTATGGAGAGCAGCAGTGATCAGTTCTTACAAGGAAAAAAAATAGATTTCATAGTGTTTCATACTATTCTGTCTGTCTGCCAACATTATTCACCCCTTGCTCTCCAAAGGGAGAGCCTGTGAATTCATTCTATCTTTCCTGCAACTGCTTGTTCCTGCAAGGAAGCACTGTCAATGTGTTCTGCTGCAGTCACTTTGGGAGACACGTCAGATTGCTCTGAAGCACTTTCAAAGCTTTCAATGAAGACCTTTTGTGCAAAGGACAACAGGTGGTCAATGTTGCAGGATGCCACCAAAGATAATCATCTCTGTCCCTGAATGGGCCAGCTTGACACACACCAGAGTCTCCAGGACTCAGTGAGCAAGTTCCATACATTTCTGCTTCCATTTCAGCACACAGGAGACTGACGCTTCTTTCCCAATACAGGTCTGCAGATCAACTTGTGGATGCAAACCAGCTGGCAGAAGCTGAGCCTTCTGAACAGGCCAGAAATGGTTCTCATGAAAGAGCACGTAGAAGAATTTGTAGCTGTGATTCAATGAATTGGATTAACTATTCTCACCGTTATTTGTTTAAGGCAATTTAAGAATAATAGGAATAAATGTTGGTATAACTGTATTTGCCAGCAATGCTTCCTGTCACATTTGCTTGACTAGGAGACTGCTCTAAGCTGCCTGATTCTAGACCAACTTTGGCCCCCAAATTTGGATATTTAGTGTAAATTAAGGCAACAAAATATAGACATAAAGCCATCAGCTCTTAAGAAACTCCAGCAGGGGTATAGCAATGTTCTGGTCTTCTGAGGAGCTCAGGGTCTGCTAGGCTCAGGAGTATGGTGGAATCCTTGCGCTCTCTTGCAATAGATCCAAGTTAATTATTTGTTCATATGTTCTCAGTTCAGTGCAGGCTACAAGTATTTGGGAAGATGCAACACACTGCTTGTACCTAGAAGGAGTCTAAATTAAGGAAAGACACCAAATAATCTTTTTTTTTCACAACCACATACCCTATTTCTCAAGTGAATTGATGATCACCTTCCCCTAAACACACTCCAGAGCTAATATCAAGATAAAAGGTGTAGGGAGGGGACCTTGGAAGCAAGTAATCCTCAATCCTAAGGTCTTGAAAACTGAATTGATAACAGATATTCCTGAACAGATATTCCCTTCATCCAAAAGGAAGGAATAGCTTGGGTAGAAATGGGTCTTAAGTATGCTTCTCAACACTATCCGACTCCCATAAAATAGGGGGTATATACTACAGAGACATCTGTTCTCTAGGAAGTGTGTTCAAGTTTGATACGAGGAGGACTTATGCCAACTGCCTCTAAAGTCATTGGGATCTTTCCTCTGGCTTCAAGTGAGAGACTTGGGTGTAGAGAGCAGCTCCTGATCACTCGCAGAGCTGCTGCAGAGGAGCACTGCAATGCAGGGCCACCAGCCAACTCGCTACTTGATTCAGAGACTGTCTGGCTCCTTCCTTCTCTCTTCTTTCACTTCATGAGAAAGCAAATTCCAAGAGCAAAGTGCATGCCAGGTAGGAAAGGCAAAATCACTCATTCAGAGCATATCACCCTGTTTCTAGCATCAACGTGACCAGTGAGGTGGGCAAAAATGAACTTGCCTAAGCTTTGGCAGTAGAGGAAAGGGACTGATACTGTTTTACAGGTGAGGAGCCAGCCTATAAAAATATGATGACAGCTGTTTGAAGAACTAATGGCACACATATTTCAAAAGGAATGATTTTATTTACATGTTGGATTACTTATAAAAAAAAAGAAGAAGAAAAGTTGAGAATGATTCTAGGGTAGAAAAATCCTCTACATCAATGCAAAATAAGCTGTGACAATTGTACGTCCTTTGAGAGAAAGGCTTTCTGGTACTTTCTCTAAGCAAGATAAATGCAAGCAAATTAAAACATTTTAACTTTATTTTCTTCCATCCAACATCATTTCATGAAAATGAGGTATTATTTTATTTTATTCAGAACATTTTGAAAGTGCACATTTGGTGTTCATGGAAGAAAGTCAAGTTTCTATATTCTAATCCCTTTTAAAAATACACTATTGGCCATGAAAGCAAGTTTCTCACTTTCTATCTTCTTTTACATCGGATCAACTGAGCAATAGTTTTAACTTTATTTTCATGAGTAAGTTGGTAGATAAAAACTTAGCTAACAAGTGTTTCTCTCACCTGAAATCTCTGAGACATGCAGTTAATGTTAAGCATTTCCTTTTGAGCTCTTCTCTCCATCATCCTAGTAGTGTAACTGAGGAATTAAAGTAATTCAACTCTCTGCACTAAAAAGATTCTATACACGATACTTTGCATTCATCTTCCGTTTCAAATCTATTTTTGTTTCCCCCACAGCCCCCATACCAAAATGGATCACACGTTTTCTGCCATTTGTTGTAGGACCACTTCAGAACATAGTCTTGACATTCTCCGCTATCCTGAGGCAGGTCACATGTATCTGGAAAAGGCAAATAGGAAACAGAGTTAATGAAAGAAAGAGCCATCTTTCTTAGCATTGGATTTTCAGTTAAAAATAACATTCAGGGCACATGAGAGTAGTAGTCAGTGTTCAAGGTCCTTCAAAGACTCACTATGTATCCACCCACACTCCCACAGTGCAAAGCGGGTCATGAGGCTCTTCTCTGATTGATTTGACCAGAAGGAATCAGGGAAACAACCAAGTTCTCAGTGGCCTAAACAGAAGTGAAAGCGAGGAAAACTGAGAGGTGCTTAGTCTTCTAACATAGAATTCTTCTAAAACTATTGGAAAATGAAGTTAGCACAAACTGCTCTTCAAGCTTTACAGAATGTCCCTCTGGTTTAATCCAAGTTTTTACCCCAGTACCCTTCAGTAAAATTTCATAAATGAGCGTATGTGGATAACTAAATCTAAGCCAAATCCCAAGGTCATATAAACTGTAAAAATTTGCCAAAATTTAGGTGAATGTAGCACTGTTTGCAGCAGTCTGGTATTCAGTAAATAAGGAGGTAATCAGCTTTTGATGATGTGAATTCCGAGTTATTTGAATGAAGTCAGAAGTAGGGCATCAAAAGGAAAGCAAAGGTAGGAAAGTAAAATACTGAGAAAAAGGCACATCACTGGAAAGGAAAGCTCCAAAACTGTGCTACATGGTTTTAGCAGTAAATTTGGGGTGCACTAATTATAAATTAAGATTGAGAACTTTCATTTATGCCTGCCTTCTAAGCATCTTACATTGCACAACAATGAGCCTATTAGCCATGGGGGACATTTTATTTGCTGAGTGTAAATGGCAGCATATGTTCATGCTACAGAATTTTCTACATGACCACAGAGGTCGCACACTGGTTAATGGAGGGCACCGATTCAAGGAGTTAGGCCAATGCTAGACCAGTTCTATATGTGCCAAGCAACTACTGTCGATGTAAGGACTTCCAAAAATTAAAGCAGGTCCTAATTAAAGGTCTGATATTACAACAGCTGTGCAAAAGCACTGGCCACTGTATCAGCAATGGGGTTACCACACTGTCCTCAGAATCATTTCTGCTTGGGGAGAGATGAAAAACAGAGGGATGGAGCTGTAGTGATGAGCAATCATATCAAAAGCTATACAGAAACCACTGATTTTTCAACAATAACAACTTGATAGTGCTAAAGGAATGCTGGTAAGAGAACTGATTTCTGTATCTACTGTAATACGTGTAATAAGAAATACACATAAATAGTAGGCAAGGTAAAAACCATGAAGAATATTGGTAGGATACATGTAGTAGAGAGTTCAGTTCATTCAGGAGGAATAGCTTGTAGCAGAGATGCTTAGAGCCTCCAAGCTGAGCTGAGTTAGGAGCAGGAATAAGTCAGTAACAAAAGTGCAACTAGGTGATTTAATACCATGAGTTGTTTTTGTAAAGGAGATTACAGATTTATGTTATATTATTTGCAAAAGTTGTAAATCAAAGCTAAAGTCTAAATGATATCTACATTTTTACCTTTAGTTAGAAAACTCCTAGAATATAGATTTGGACTGAGTATGATCACATGGCACCACAAAGCTTTGGAAGATTTACTAAATGGATATAGCCCACACTGAGTAAACATGGAAACGAGCCCTTTGCAACTGAGAGTCTTTCTATTGAATTCAAAGATCTTTTCATGCTTTAAAATCATACCATAAAACTTATAGGCAGCTGTAGTTTCTATTGTTGCCTCTAGGTTTTCCTCATTCTCCTCCTGAGCTTCTCCATATTCTTGTGGTGCTTCTTCACCATTTTCTTCTGCGAAATTCTCATTCTCTTCATAATCATATTCTATCCCTGGCAACGCAGATGCCAGTTGTGTGTTAGTTGTTACGGTTTCCTCCAGGGCTCTATTTTCCGTTGTTGCAACTTCTTCCAAAACATGACTGTAATCAGTTTCACCTGAGCCAGGAAAAGGGACCCTTTACAAGGGGGAAAAAAGAGGAAGGGTTAAGCACTAATACGGCCTTGAAAAATCCACCTTGATCATTCCTTCTGAATAGTATGAATAGTATGAATAGAATAGTATGAAACACTTCTTTGGTCCTGCTACTGCTTCTGTTAAAGATAGTTGGAAGGTAAGTGCTAACTGAACAGGAGAAAATTCTATATTGAGCGATAAATGTAAATACACAGTTTTATCCCATACATGTTGAGAAACTTTAACAGGCAATTCCTTACCGTTCAATAACGGATACTTGCTGTTGCGTGTCTCCCCGATCTAAGTTTTCACACTCTTCCTGAAGTTCAGGAGAAGGGTAACTGTTCATTTCCTCTATGGGGAAAGCACAAGAAGCAACAGCTGAGGTTTAAAGTCCTCCAAACATCAGTAAGCCTGATAAAAAAGAACTATGTGATTTTTTTTCTTGTGCAGTATGTATCCTTCAAATAAATAACATATGACGCTTAACAGACAACTGGTACTATGACCAGGAAAATAAAAATAACATAACAGATCCAGTCTTCACAATACACTATTTGTCCCTCTATGGAAAATTTGGTGCCTGTAAGTACGTGTTTTAATGGGAATTTTAAATAGGCAATATCTTCATTCTTCATGTTTATCTTGGATTTATTTTAAAACAACCAAGAACTGCTCATCTGCATGTGTGTGTCCTGGAAGGTTCACAAGCTCCTTCTCTGCTCTACAGAGGAGGAATAACTGCAGTAAAGAGAGGTTAAGTTCAGATCAACTAGGTATTAAGTAGATGAGTAAAATCCAGACCTGCTACTAGTCAGAAGACAAATGAAAGCCTAATTCAGTCTTATATTAAATTGAAACTAATGGAGATAATATTTTAATAGTGCCTTTGGCTAAGTCTTAAAATAAATATATATGTTGTTCTGTACTTACTGGTACTTCCATTAGTGTCTAGCATTTGCTTTGAACTACAGATGAAAGAGCAATTAATTTGATTATGACTAGGAACCGAATGGCAGTGGATATACAGACCACCTTTGTCTAAACCGTATTTCTCACTCTTCCCCTAAGTTGGATGCTACTCACGCTGCAGGAGACTGAGGAAGGCCCGGCTAAACCGCTGCGCGTAGGCCAGCTCAGATGTTGAAACTCTGCCCAGGGACAGTAAGTGCTGCTCTGTGGGGGAGCTGGACAGCTCTGTGAGCTCGCTGTCACTCACACCACTGCCAAGTGCTAAAGTGAACACGGTGAATCCTCGGCACTTGGCTCCAAGGGAAATCTCTCTCAGCCTCTCTCTGTCCCATTCGCTTGTTTGGCTTCCAAGTATTGTAAATATGACCCTGTGCTTTCTTTGCCTGGGGGCCTTAAAAAATACATTTTCAACTGTCCACTGTAATGCAGAAGCAATGGCTGACGGTCCTTCCAGTTGCTGAACAGACTCTTGGATATGTTTCTTCATTGAATCTTTATTGTTGTAGGTGACTAGATCAAACTCCAGGGCCACAGGGCTTTGGTTTCTGCCAGGCAGGAAGCCTCTGGGGGCCTGTTGTACCAGTGCCACTCGGGTGCCACTACGTGACTCGCGTGGCTGTGGGGTGATGACAAACTGATCTAGCATGTTGTGCACAAAATCTTTGGCTCTCTGAAACTCTTCCCTGCCGATGCTGAAAGAGCTGTCCATGATATAAGCAATATCCACATCCACAGGAACAGGAGGAGGAATGGGAACTTCACAGCTGGCACTTGGTTTGCATTTATCTAGAGAAAAAGAGCCAATAGGCAACAAACTACTAAAAAGGTGCAACAAAGGTAATGGTTTAGAAAGAAAACTCTATTTTACTTCTCATTTTTTTATTTAAAATTCAATATAACAATCAGAAATCTTATTTTAAGAAACAATGGATGAACCTTGCTGAATCAGATTTTGTGATATCATGGGAAATTATTCAGACATGAGAGCAAAAAGTGTTCCTAAAGTAAGACTTAAAATATAAGAGTTCCCTTGAGTAATTTTCTTCTATTGAAACCTCAACAGGACAAAGGACACTGACTTTTTTTTTTTTTTTTTAAATCTCAGACAACTCTTCAGCTTTGTTAAATATTAATATCATTTGGCAGCTTCTATTCTCTTCAAATTGTAGAATTTACAGTAGATCTGCCTGGTTTCCCAGAATTACAATGCCATTTTGAGAGCTTGTGTTTTATAAAGAAAATGCCAAATACAGTAATTCATTTTTCATGGCTTTGTCAGGACCCAGTTAAACAGATTTTGCAGTTTTGAGCTTGGAACTCTTTCTGCCCACACTGCCTTGAAGAATTATTTCATTGAAATCAATTAGATTTGTTATTTAAAGGATAAAAAGACCAATACAACAGTTCAAATGTTCAAGTTTGTACATGTCTTACCATAGCAAAGGGTGCAATATGTGATGCTCTCCAAATTTTCACTCTGTTGTCTTTCCCAAACAAATAACTGAAATCTTCTAGTATCATCAATCTGTGTTTTAAAGCAGACACAAAAGTAACATTAAATACCCAAGATGAAGGCTTTTCTTTTCTCATTTCTTAACACTTAATAGCTGTACTATTTCTCTGTCGAAATGGACACTGTCACTGTCCCCATTTTGGTGGTTTCACTGCTTTTGTAATGGCAAACAGTTACACAGAAGATTTTTCCACCTGCTGTTCTGTTTGCCCTGGAGCACTACAGGAATTAACATTGGCACCTGATGTATGAAGAAATCTAAACACTGAGAATGCAAAGAAAACAGCAGGTTCAATCTCTCTGAGAAATACACAGGCAGCCAGAGAAGCTTAGAAGGTTGTGCGCTTGAGATGTGTATTAGCAGTCACAATAGTGGGTTTCTCTGCTTTTACATAGTCCTCCCTTGCTGCAAATAAGAAAATCTCTTCATCCCTGCAGGTTTATCTCTACACTGTGCTACAGACTGCAGTTAGTGCAGCTGCTAATGCAAATGTGTCTGTGTGAGCTGCAGTGATCCTCACCAGAAGACCAAGTATTCTGATGAGGTAGTGACCCACATAACAGCTAACGTGAGTAGGTGCAGGTCTGGGCTGCACTTTGGGGCAGCTGGAGCTTGTGTTGCAGGGTAGAGTTGGGCAGCTAATTGCAGGGAAGGAGTCCACAGGCAGCTCCCACTTCACACTGGTGATTATACAGGAGTTCACAGGCAGCTCCCACTTCACACTGCTGATGATACCGTTGGCATGACCTTGTCATTATCTCAAAGTGCAGCAACAAGTTCTCATGTGAACCTTCCCTTTAACAAGAGAAATGATTAATAGAACTCTTTTCTTTTAAGAAAATCCTGTAAGAGCTCAAAAGGCCAGATGTAAGGTAATCTTTTGACAGAGTGTGTCTGCAGGCAGACCTTGGGGTAGTGTCTGAAGGGATGTAAAATAATTATCTCTACCCTCTAGCCTCTTTTTCTTTACAGTGTTAGTTCCAATAAGCAGCATTTTCAGAGCTATTTTACAGAATCTGAGTGCTTTTTTTTTTAAACTGAGATGATGGTAACACTAGTCCCAGTTCATTGAACTAGAATATTAGCACAGTTCATTAGCCAGTGTATTGCATTAAGGCTGTTACAGAAGGTCATACAAAGCTAATTCTGCTATTTCTGCACAGTGTTGCATTTAAGACCTCTGTCCACATTCATTTTTATACTTTGGCTTTCTGTTTTTCCTAGATCCCAGATTAGGCAGGAACTAAGACTGGTAATGACTTGCTGAGTGATGTGAGACTCCTAAAGCAAGCTAACCATATATATCAGGCCAGTGTAAAGATCATGAAGACTAAACTACCTTGGAACTTAAAGGGCAGAAGGGCATCTGAAAGAAAAACTGTTCTTTCATTTGCTTGGGTGGCAGGGGGCAGGTTGATTGCCATGCCACCACTGTAATCAGAAAAGAGAGCTAGGTGGTGATATTTTTTGCCTTTCCCAGCAGCTGCTCTCAGCTTTGCTTTGAAGCTGTCCAGGCTCCTGCTGCCCAATATTCCTCTGTCCTCTATCATATTCATGTGCTGTTTATAATTCCATGTTGTTCACTTATGCAATTCCTGGAGTAAAAATCATGACTTAGACATTTTCAGTAAATTAGGGTGAAACTATCAATTCACAGTGGGACTATTCTGTTTGTTTGCAAACCTGTATGTTCTTTCATTTTGGAAAGCAACACAGCAAGGGTGAGATTTATAAACTTTGAATTAACGTTGCCTTATCCTGCCAGTGTGTGCATTCCTGGTACAAGCTAAGTGTATCCCTGTTTACTTGTACTCTTCATTTTTAGACACTGTGTATCCACATGGGACAAAAGACCCAGAATGTTCATTCTTCATGTTTGTGAGGGAAGCATTACTGATCCAAGCCACATTATTCCCACTGTTGAATGAGCTGCTTATGGTACAGATAGAAGGAAATGCACTGGCATAAACACTTCTAAGGAACTGAGAAAAAACAGGCAAAACCCTACAATCTGTATTTTGAATGTTCATTTTGTTTCTGCACAAAGAGCAGTAAAAGTCTGCCAGAATGGAGGAAATGACCCTGTATTTCATGTGCAGCATAGCTGAAGTTCTCAGATTATCCAAAAACACAGTACACATTTGTACACTCAGATTCTTGTACTATATCTGTTATGGGGATGCCCAGGAACTATCTACCCACCAGCTTTTGGATGATACTACAATTTGGAGTCAGAATGATTTGACAGAATCCGTACTTCAGCCTGTTGATATCAATGCAAAGTCTGAAAAAAAATCCCAATACAGCACTGCTGTATGTGTATGTATACATGTACATATAGAAGTACAAATATATATATATATATATTTTAAAGTTCAAAAAAAAAAAAGAAAACGCACTCCACAAACAGTGGGCATATACGGGTCAACTTTAAATTTCTTTCTATCCTGAAAATGTTTTGTGAAACTGGACACCTTTGTAATTACCAGATGGACTTATTATATGCATTCAGACTCTTACTAAGTTAAAAAAAAAAAAGGCAACCAAGTTAATAAGCAATGACTTTCCTTCTTGTACATCACTAGAATTCTTTTATTAACATTCAACTGACTAACCTGTGAATTTAATATCTTTTTTGTATGAAATCTATTATAAAACAAAAGATTTTCTCTCTTCTTTTGTTCTAATGGCAATGTAGCTAAGAAAGGGGGTCTTATTCAGTTTAGTTTTCTTTGGGGGAGATAAACTGCTGTATTTGAAGTTTTCCAGTACTAGGTAATACTGGAGGGACTTTCTAGACTTCCTAGAAACTAATGCCACAGTTTGGCAATTAAATAGTAGATATCACAAGTTCAGAAAAGAATGCTGCATAAGAAACACATTGAAACCAACTTGGTGTTATTTAAACTACAGGATTTGGCCTAAAACATCCAGTCATCGATAATTCATGTGCAGAAAGAATCGGTGTTCCTTCGTTAAAATAGTAATTTATACTACACCTCTTTCTAATATGGGATAGGCCTAAACATTTTCTGGAAAAGTAACTAGTCTGAGAGCACGCTTCAAACAAATCCTGATAGCTACTAAGCAAATAGGTGATGGATTCTCACTGAGAGTTTCAGTTTTCTAGAGTCAGGCTACTTACTGAGAAGGCCCGCCTCACATTCGGCACTTCACTGAAGGCAATAACCACCGGAGCGATATCCAAGGCACTCAACTCGAGTGCGGCTGTGTTGATGACATCACCATCCTGCGATGGACCGTTGGCAAAAAATATGGCAACTTTCCTTGTGAGAATGCCCTGACGAACCCGTTTGAAGACGTTCCTGGCAACAAACCTCATGGCTGCCCCAATATTACGTCTTCCAGTGGATCTCTCCAGCGGTAGCCTCTGGACTGCTTGCAGCAACAAGCGGCTCTTCTGGAATTCTGAGAAGCGGATGAGATAGCGCATGTTGGCATTGTAAGAAACAACAGACACACGAGCGCCTGTTGGGCAGTTGCTTTCACTGATCTTAACGTTCCTGAGCAAAGACAAGATGATGTTCTTCATCCTTTCAAATGCAGCTGGAGTAATATCTTCGGACATATCAAGGGCAAACACCACTTCAGTTGGATAAACTGGACAGGTGTCTGTATTTTGATACAAAACAAAAAAAAAATTTGAAATTTTGAATGAAAGCCTTTCCAAAATTCAAACATCACTTTTTTCTTCAAGTTCATGAAAGAAAAGACATACTGAAGTCTGATGGGCTTACCTGATGAGCAAGCTGGGATGGAGAGAGGGAGAGAAATAAATTATTTTGCACTCATATTCATGAAAAGAGTAACACATTCCCCTGCTTTCATTAAATAGCCTGATTTACAGCTCAGACAACTCTAAGAATCTGTCTGTTAGGAATAACTATCCTCCTCCACAATCAAATACTCAAAATAGTGCAGTTTCACTAGATGAGATTTAAAGAGACTGTTCTGATGAGTAGAGAAGGCTGAGAGAGAATGAACAATCCAAGTCAGGGTTTGGCATAATAATAATAAAATAATTCAAGCCTAAATGAGGACCAGCTGAATTTGTTAGTATTTTACTAATTGACAGGAAAAACAGGCAAAAGGTGTAAACT